TTAGAAAACTGAAAAAAAGAAACTTTCTTAATCTGATAAAGAATATTACAAAAACCAACAGCAAAACCCATTGTTTATGACGTGTTGAAAACTTCCCTTTGAAATCTGGAACAAGACACCATTTCTATTTTATAGTGCACTGGAGGTCCTAGCCAGTATAGAATGGCAAGAAAAAGATTTAAAATTTATAAGGTTTAAAAAGAAATAAAAATGTCATTAGTCACAGATAATATGGTTATTGTGAAGGAATTCCAAAAGAATTTACAGATAAATTAACATTAATATGTGATTTTAGCAAAGATGCTACATACAAGGTCAATATTCTAAAATCAATTTACATCCTAAAATAAACAAAATAAATTTCTTAAAGAAGTATATCACTTACAATAACATTTTTAAAAGTATCAAATAGCTAGGAATGAATATAACAAAAAAGTAAAAGACCTGTGTTCAGAAACTATAAAACAACAACAAGAAAAATTAAAGATGACCTAAATAAATGGAGAGCTATACCATGTGCATGTTGGAAAACTCAGCACTGCAAAGAGTCAATTCTCCCCCAAATTATCTCGATTCAATGCAATCTCAGTTACAACTGCAACAACTACTTTCTGTGGGAAATGACAAGCTTATACTGAAATAACTATTTCTGTGGAAATTGACAAATGTATACTGAAATGTACATGGAGAAGAAACACCAGAAACAATCTGAAGATGAAATAGCCAATTAAAAAAACAATTATTTTCAAATATTTGAAGAACCTGGAAAGGCAGAAAAACTGAAAGTAAAATGTAGTTTTCAATTAAATATACAGATAAGCATTCTTAATATCGTGAGCATTTTTTATAGATATACAAAAAAAAATACATGGAAATGCAAAGGGCAAAGAATAACTAAAGCATTTTTGAGAAAGAACAAGGAGAGAACATTCTCTACTAGCTATCAAGACTCATAAACTAGAGTAATTAAGATAGTGTAGTATTGATGTTAAGATACATAAATACACTAAAAGAACAGAATAGAGAGTACAGAAACAGTCTCACACATAAATGGGCACTTATTTTATAACAAAGCATTGCAACGCAATAGGGAAAATCCATTTTTTCTTTTTGTTTTCCTTTTAAAATTTTACTTATTTAATTTTATTTATTTAATGGGGGGTATATAATAGTACAAATACAATTGAAAATCTACATGGAAAGAGAAAAAAAAAACATAACCCCCACTTCACACTCTATACAAAAATCCATTCCAGAGAGTGAATGATTAAATGTAAAAGCAAAACAACAAAGCCTTGAAAAAGTAATATAAGAGAATATCTCAATTACCACAGGGTATAGAAAGATTTCTTAAAGACAAAAAACACCAACCATAGAAAAGTAGGTGGGAAAGGACTATTTCAAAATTAAGAACTTCTGTTCTTCAAAACACACCATAAAGACAGTGAAAAGACAAGCCACAAAGGGGGAAAAGATGTTTTTAATATATAAAACTAAAAAGCTTATATTCAAATTATGCAAATAACTCCTACAAATCTATAAGAAAAACAAATAGAAAAATGGGCAAAGAAACTTTACCAAAGGGTCAATATACATCATTAGTTATCAGAGAATCTCTGTTAAAACTACAATAAGATACTACTCTACATGCCAGAATTTCTGAAATTAAAGACTGATGAATTCAAGTATAAATAAGACCTCTCATACATTGCTAATTAGACTATAAATTGGTACAACCACTTTGGAAAACCATTTAAAATCTACTAAATTTTAGTATCCACATATCCTAAGACACAGAAATTCCATTTTTACATATGTACCCAACAGAAATCTATGCACGTATGCATGAAGTCTGGAAACACCACTCCTGCCAATGTCCATCAACAGTAGAACGGATAAATTGTGGTATATTCTTATATTGAATTACTATACAGCAATGAAAATAAACGAACCAGTTTAATGAAAATAAAACGAACTAAGTTTCATAAAACTTACACAATGTTGAGCAAAAACAAGCCAAGACACAAAAGAACATATATTGTATACTTCCATTGTATAAAGTTTAAAAAGAATCAAGGATGCACACTTATAAAGACAAGCAAGAAGGTGCTTATCATAAAACCAGATTACTGATTATCTTTGGTGATGGGGGAAAAACGGGTAGCAACTGGAAGGGGGCACAATGAAGACAAATGAAATATCGGCAAGATTCTCTTTCTTTTTTTTTTTTTTTTTTGGTGGCTGCCCGGTATGGGGAGCTGAACCAGTGACCTTGGTGTTAAAAGACTGCACTCTAACCAACTGAACTAACTGGCCAGCCCAAGATTCTATTTCTTGAGCTGATTGATAGTTATATGGTTGTTTATATTATGAGAATTTGCTGAGCTCTATGTTTTTGTTTTATACACTCTAGATGTATTAAATTTCACAAAAAGTTTTACAAAGCAGATTCAAATAAAATATTTCAAAGCATTTACATTATGTTTTTATGATTTTTAACCCTAAAGTCTAACATTATGTAATCTTTAGAGCTACCAGTGTTAAAGTTCATAAAATCATAAAAGGAACTTTCTCCAACTATATGTGTGCTTTTCTCTTAAATAGTATCAAAAATAAAAAAAAAGTACACTAGAGGAATGTACATTAACAAGCTATGCAAATATTCTGCCAATCTATACTCTAACACATTATTTCTACAGATGCTACCTACCGTTCTGTACTAAATGTTGAGTGTTTCTTCAGAATAATTGTTATATTATGAAAAAAAGATCAACCAAAAACAGCTTATTCTTTGTAAAAGCTGTCATAATATCATAATAACTTGAAATAATTATATTTCAAGTGGATAGATAGCTTTGGTCCCCGTTTGGTATTATTATCTATTTTGGAAATTCAACATACCTCTTTATACAGTTCCTTTTATATCTTTTCTCCATCTGATGGTGGAAAATGTTTCTATTTATGTACATTTTCCATTTAGATAAAAATGTTATTTGTTAAATAGCATCTGAAGAGTCACAAATGGCCTCAGAATCTCTTAGGGAACAAACAATGGAAGACAAGGGTACATTACAGAATAATGTGTCTAACACTTTCCCAGAGCCATACTTTTTCTGACTGATGAATGAAACCTGACCATAACAGAATGCCACATTTTAGCAATTTGCTACTTTAGAAAGATAATTATATAATACTCGTAGGTAGTTTTGTAGCCATAATACATTAATGATGCCTACAAATCAATAAGTATCACATAAATTTTAAAAATGGATAAAAGATACAATAAAGTAATTCATAGAAAAAATAAGAATGACCAATAAACATGAAGAGATACCAAACATTAATCACATTTTTAAAATGTTAATTAAAGGGCCGGCCCGGTGGCGCACTGGAGAGTGCGCCGCTTGGGAGTGTGGCGGTGCTCCCGCCGAAGGTTCGGATCCCATGTGGAGACCGGTTCCCGCTCACTGGCTGAGCGCTGTGCGGGCGCAACACCAAGGGTTGCAATCCCGTTGCCGGTCAGTAAAAAGGACAAAAAGGAAAAAAAAAATGTTAATTAAAGACTGGCCCGTGGCTCACTTGGGAGAGTGTGGTGCTGATAATACCAAGGCCAAGGGTTCAGATTCCTATATAGGGATGGACAGTTAGCTCACTTGGGAGAGCGTGGTACTGACAGCACCAAGTCAAGGGTTAAGATCCCCTTACCGTCATCTTTTTAAAAATAAATAAATAAATAAATAAATTAATTAATTAAAATGTTAACTAAAACATGATAACATTTTCCAGTCATCTGGCAAAAATGAAAAAGATCAAGAATATCCAATGTGATTAGGACATGGAAAAATAAAAGTACTTACATATTGATGGTAGGAGTATTAACTGGTAAAAACTTTTTGGAATGCAATTTGACATTATCTATAAAATTTTAAACACATACACATACCGTAATACCCAGCAATATCATTTTTTAAATCTAGACAATGAAAATATTAGTATAAGTGTATAAAGATATATTTATAAGGGTATTTATTACAGAACCAACATGGAAGAATGAATAAGTAAATTTTGGTATATACAATGGAATTTCAAGCACTTATTTTAAAATGCAAACAAAATTTGTGTACCAATTTGGAAAGATGTCCAAAATGTACTATTAAACAATAAAAATAAGCTGCAGAAAAATATATACAGCATTTCATTTTTTGTTTTGAAGAAACTCTCACATAGTATATATATAAGCAGAGAAAAAAGTCTCTAAAGTATACACAACGAACTTAACAATGGTAATCTCTGGAGGGGAAGAAAGTTTTGGTTTGGAGATGAGGCTAGTAGAGACTCTTCAGCTTTTATTTAATACTTTTTGTTATCTGAATCTATTGGGTTTTTTTGGTCCATTTTTTGGAGACTGGCCGCACCGCGCTCAGCCAGTGAGCGTTGTGAACGCACCGGTCATCCCTATATAGGATCCGAACCCACGGGGGGGGGGGGGGGGGGGGGGGGGGGGGCGCTGCTGCGCTCCTAGAGCTGCACTCTCCCGA